CTATTTGCAGTCGAAATAGATTATATAATATATATATATATAAATAATATATATATAAAAATATATAGTCTATTTGCAGTTGAAATCAATTATAAAATTTTACTATACTACGAAAAAATTTTACATATCTATAATATAATAACAACATTTGTTACACATTTCCAAGTACGCATATGTGAAAGAGAAATATTCACCCCTTTTCCAAAGCCGGCCGCTTTAATGATAATTTTCTGTAATGAATGATTCACCTGCAATGATTTTTTTTATCTAGGGTACGCTTATCCAGTTTTTATCTTATATTTGTTGATGATAAAGAGAATGCTAGTCAGAAGAATCAGTTATACACTGTCGTATGCGTTCATATCACTCACATTACGATTCACACCACGTTTTCATATTAATTTCATTTGTTAATTTATAAAGCGATTTCCGCGGAAAGCGAAGATCCGCGTTCAAACGTGTTTCTTCGTTGATAAAATTTATTCGAAATATACGAGTGTTAAAAGATAACAAGTGGAACAATGGTTGCGAAAACTTCCGGTCCCCAATTAGAACAACGAATTCAGTGTATAAAATTTACCATTTTTTGCTTGAATGCCATCATATGGGTGAGTATAAAAGTACATGCACTTAGAGTTAAATGTAAATCTAATTTAACCGATAACATTAAACACACTTTGTTATCGATTTATTCGTATGGAAATTACAAATACAAATGTCAGAAGACATTTATGAAAACTTTCCAATAGAAGTTTTGATAACGGACTATATTTTGAAAGTATATCGTTGAAAACAATTTTTTAAACTATGAAATTTCTATCAAGTTTATTTTTCTTTTTCTTCTTTTATTTTACATTATCGTTAACAATCAATTCATCACGTACAATTGCTTGTCAATGTGCAATTGATTGATTAATATGTACAATATTATATATACTTAACGTAAATAACTTTGCACAAGCAATTTAATTTGAAATAGTTCTTATTGCAACACAGGCACATCCTCGCTATATTTGAATCAATGTGAGTCAGATCACGACATAGTAATCATATCTGTGTTTATCAGCGTGACGAATATGAGACGGTTATGGCTTGAGAACTAAACGTTAGAAATGAAGAATTCGATGAAACGTGTAACTTACATATATTCTCCTTTCTTATGTAATAACTTTTTTTAACTTTTTTTTTTTTTATTAAAGTACAGGAGTTTGAATGAGAATTAAGCATAAGGATAAACATAAAAAACAAATATAGAATCTGTAACTGATTCTAAGTTATACATTATCGTTGGCTCAAATTTATTTAATATTTAATTGTTGAAATAATTTTGAGAAATATCACATGTATGTCTTAGCTACTTGGAAGCTCAATGTTTGGATTATGCATGTGGCTAAGGATGGATCCAGGTTTTCAGGAATGGGTTGAATTCCTCGAGATATACGAATTTTACATCGGCATTTACATCTTACTTGCGGCTTCGATATTTATCATAATTATCACGTTCATCGGCTGTGGAGTCGCTCTTATGGAACATATTCTTGGCCTCTATATTGTAAGGCATAGATATATTAGTAATCAATTATTATTTCATTAAATTAAGTTCAGAATACGTCTTTAAGTTAAGTTTTTTTTTTTTTTTTTTTATAAAGACAACTATTTTATATTTGTATTAAGAGTACTTATCGGTTAGAAAAATGTACGAACTTCTGAGCAAAGTCGTATCGATTTTTCAAGTACGCGGGACTGCAATTACTTTCCTACGTTCTTGGTCTCGTTGGGACAGCACTTCTCCTCGATTATTCCACTTACGACAGTAAGATTCAGCCTCTTATACGACGATCCATGACCTCCCTCATCAATAACTACCACGACGAAAGAGCAACGTACATTTTACAATTAATTCAAGAAAGCGTAAGATAATGTGTTATATTGTTTATTAACAAACGTACATACTGTACGTACGTATTGTTGTTACGAAATAACCAGCGTGGAAATAATCGAGTAATTTTACGAAATAGATCGGTTGCTGTGGTGCCGATGGTCCGATGGATTATATAACCTTGAGGAAACCGTTGCCCACTGAATGTAGGAACACGGTTACTGGAAATGCTTTCTTCTACGGATGTGTCGAAGAAATTTCATGGTTTTTGGAGGGAAGATCGGGCTGGCTGGCTGGTTTATCATTGGCTCTATGCATGCTTCACGTAAGGATTATGAAATACATCTTATAAAAAGACGAATAGCAAATGTTTAATAAATTACTGTACTTTGCAAATCAAATTTTACAGATAATAATAGCTGCTCTAAGCTTAACGTTGGTCCGAGCTATTAAGAAGGAAGAACAATACGTCACGTTCAAACGTTAATTCATATTAATTTTCATGCCAATTTTCGCATATCCTCCTGCATTCCATAATAATGTACATATCTAATTGCTAGACTGCGGATGTTTGTGCATTTATAGTAAACTGAAAGTAGAATTTTGCAAAAATACTCACGGCATGGAAAGATGTATAAAATTTTATTAAAAGTAAAATACACTTTGTAATATTTAATATTACAATCTATTGAAACACTTCATACGCTATTCTGATGGATAAATATAAATGCAAAACATCAAATATACGTATTGTGCAGGTATGCATTAACATTTGCAGACTATTAAAAATGGCATTATAATATTATAATATTTCGTAAGTTAATATGTAATATTTTTTAACAAATATCCAACAACAGTTTTTTTTTTTTTTAAATCTTTACATAGAGCAAATATAAATGAAATGGAGTATCCTCAGCATATATCGAATGTATTCTTCGTCAAAAGAAAATTTTTCTGCTGCTCTGTCCGTATCACAGGATTTAGAAAATTACGAACGCATGCTCGCTCTAAATTTAGAATTCAATTTCGTTACGTGTCACCATATGTTTCATATTTTTGGATTGTTCGTGCTTACTTTAGAATACTAAACGAATGATACTAGATACTTATAATGTATTCTTCTTATCGATAATGTTACGTCGATGTTCTACCTATTACTTACTACTTATTATTTTTTTATACTACACAACATTTCAATATTGTTTTATATATGTTCTATAAATACATATTTCATCAAGACTATGACATTTCACGAGCTGTTTCGTTCTTCTTGCTTCCAATACAAACATATGGCAAGCGACATAAGCAAGCAAGAATAGAACAATGACAGTTTTACTTCTCTATCATTATTTCCGACTAAATTAAACCAAGTGAAAAATATAATTTATTCTGGTCGAATTGACATTATTATGTTATATTAATATTCAATTTTTTAATTATGTATAATAAAATGTAATAATTTAAAATATAATAACTTAGTTTTATTTGTGTTCTTTAATTTTCTATAATAAAATTTAAAAACGCATATTTATTTTCATATATTTTATTTACAAAATTTTTAATATATATATAT